AAATATCAGAAAAATATCCCCCGTTGTGTATTTCCTCTTTTTCTTCCTCCTCCTGTTTTCTTTCTTTTTTTTTTTCACCGTATCCTCCCTCGTCGAATATCACAGGTTCTACATATAAAAGTACACGTAATGAACTCTTCGCTTCGATATAACTTACTTTCTCCCTTCTTGTCGAGTGAATTTTCACGCTTGTACAGAAGCTTTTTACCGTTTCTTCAAAGATCTATGCGACAGAGCGGGGCTTATGTGAGATGACGTATTATAGTGCCGAAAATGAAACTCGAAAGAAACTTACTTATAGTGTGATGACAGTACATGAATAGAAATATGCGAAGACATTGAAATTTCTATGTAGATCTTCGTCTAGAATTTTTGCGAAAATGATTTATCCTTGTTTGGATCATTTTTTTTCTGACGCGCCAAAAATTTCGATCTCCCTGTTTCCTTACGTTTAATCCTTGGGTGGACAAAATAACGCAGATTCTTTTATAGGTACAATCAGTTCCTGGTAAAAGGAGACGAGCTAATAATCTGTAGAAAAATTCACCGTTTTAATACTTCATTTGGAAAATTACGTTTGCATCCTTGCTTCAGTTCTTCTCTTCTAACTGTTTCTCGTTTGGCTCCGAACTGAACTAGCCCATCTTTATTGGAAAACAAGGTGTTGTGCATGAACTTCTGCTTTTTTTAGTCGGCCTCCCACTGTGTAATCATTAAACTACAACAATTACTGTGATATTTTCTATAAAAAAAGAAAAAAAGAATTCTATCTCAAGATCCATCGATATCTCGCGCGAAAGATCGAACTGATTAAATGCTAAACAAAAATTCCACTTGTTTTCATGTTCGGTGGGCATCGAGAAAGGATCTATGAAGAATCTGTTGAAAAAATATTCCAACGACGCGATTCTACTCTTTTTACTTTTTTTCTTTTGTCGCTCGACTTCGATTTCTTCTCCTTACTTTCGTGTAAAAAAAGAAACGCAAACGCGTGGAATAATCAATTTCTTAAATCACTTACTCTACTTAGTAAACGTGTAAAATTTTCTTGTGTTTGTTTGCCATCGATACGTTTTGTTTTTTCAAATTGTATCGTATTTTTTTTTAAACGTTCCGTTTCACAATATACGTGTTCGTGTGTGTTGTTACACCGTATGTATTATATGTTCCTGTTTGAGATGCGAGTGAAGTGTATAATGCACGTAGAAACGTTCGTCTGTACAACATTTCGCAAATATCTTATCGCTAAATCTTCATCGTTTATTCAAATTTATTACCGTTGTTATTGCACCTTCCAAGGATTTAAATCGGTACTGTTTGCTACAGTTCCATCATGATTAACATCTGATTGATTAAAGAAACAAGTTACGTAGAAATCGACTACTCAATCCAACTTAAAGAGTGTAAACTGTTCTGTAAACAAACAACGTGTTGTACATATTAAAAAATATATTCTCGCCTCTGTATAACTATTCTCAGGTCGCTATATATTCGTTTATATCGATTGTGTGTGCACGCACGAGTGTGTGTGTGTGTGTGTGTGTAATAGTACAAATGTAACAACTTGTATACTCTATTGTCATTCTTAAAAAAAAAATACATATCCGCAAGAGAAAAAAAAAATGAAAAGATTTTATAAAAAAAAGAAAAAAAAACAGACGTTTCACAGACTTTCTATTTCGACGAGAATTCATCTTCTCGTAATTTTAACGAAAAGAAGGATGAGATTTTGTATCACTTCGAACGTATACAAAACCACGCCTGAATACAAACAATGGATGCTGCACGTCCAATTGATCCGTATCTTGACCTTTTTAAACACACAACATTCAAGAAATTCATTTTAATTTCTAACGGATGCAAAACTTAAACCTGTTACACTAGTCGATTACGATTACTTTTTTTCCTTTTTGAGCTACAAACTCGAATACAATTTGTTTTCTGTATAAGAATATACTGTATAAATATAATTCTGAATACAATCATCTGTTTCGTGTCTCGAAAATTGATAACAAGTATACAATACATTAGTTTAATATAAACAGTTTTTCATGATAAGTTACTGCGACAATATATAATATATATCGAATATTTCTTGTGGTACTTTGTTTCTTTTCTGAGCGACGCGAACCTAGAAACTATACATAGCTACACGGCCTCCAATAAAAACGCGCTTTATCGGAAATCATCGTTCGGCCTGATTATAACGTACAATGTAACAATTATGTGATGAACGCTAAATAGAAAAAAAGAAAATAGAGAAAAAAGAAAGAACATGCATAATATTCACACTTCATACTCGAAACGGAGATTTAGCGATCGCACACGTAACATTCATCTTTTTTTTCTGTTTTATTGATTTTTTTGCATGATTTTCTCGCAATTCGTTTATATACTTTCCGGGCTAAAGCAATCCAACATTTTGGTTACCGGAGAGATATACATTTAAACGTTGAAAAAACAGTCGACGAAGAGTGATTTGTTTGGTTCCACATCAAAAAGATCAGTTCTTCCATTTAGCTGTTATGTATGTAGTTACATACGGTTTTCTATATTCTTCATAATAATTCCATTTGGTCGTTAAACATATACACGGTGACCGAAATTGTACAGTCGAATATAAATAGAGCTCTCGGATAAGGTTCGTCGATAGGAAGAACTATTTGCGTGACGCTCGAATTGCTCGATACAATAACGCCGGTGCTTTCCACCATATACATACATATATTCGTGGTTGAACATACAATTTTCACGATGATTTGTATTTTTTTTTCCTTTTTTTATCTTTTTAGTTTTGATTTACTTGACATTTTTTTTCTTTTCCATTCCTAAATTCTTCCCTCTTTTGCGCTTACTTGATCTTACTCTACGAGTACATCATGAGCTTGTGACTAACAATATTTCCTGTCAAGGACACAGTCAATATGCTAACAAAGAATGTCACGGCGCCATCTAGGATTCTAATGGCGTGTTCGTCGGCGTGAATGACATCTCCATGGTGATACCAGCACTACTGCGACGGAATCTGGATGGGATCTCGGTGCTGTTGCGGGGTTTACGTCTGCTCAGGTGTCTCTCTACCCACTTCAACATCGTCAACACTGAATCGGTGCTTGGTAAACGTCTTTCGGCCGACGTACGGATTATATGCGACGACGTTACGCGGAAGGTAGCTGCCATACCTTTCAGCGCCTGCACAAAATTATTACGGATGGATAAAATTTCACAAATTGCAACGTCTATGTGAATATGTATATCTACTTCATATAGAAATGAGATCAGAACTCGTTTTTATTAAAATATAACACTCTAGAAAAAAAAGCTTTGTGGAAAAATCTAAAATCTCCACTGATTAATTTATACCTGCATCGCATCTTCATCCGTCACATCATCACCAGCATAAATAATCCTGATACGTTCGCTCCAGTCCAAACCGAATGCTGTGCGCAGAATGTAAATGGAAGCGCGACCCTTGTTCCATTCCACCGGTGGTTTAGCCTCTATGGCACAGTGCGCGGAACATGCTTTGAAACCTGAACTCTCGATAATCTTCTTCGCCTGATCGACCATCTCTTGGCGACCCTCCATAGGAGTTTCACGATAATGAAACGTTAACAACGCTCCTTTGTTTTCTACCCAGGCTCCATCCCTGCAAAGCTACACCCGACGAATCAAATTACTAAACTCTCACCGTACAACCATTTTAAAGAATACTTACAATTGCAGAATATTAAAATTCCTAAACAGGTTTTAATTACAAAACACGAAATAACAAAATTCTTCAAATGTACGAGAAAAAAGGTATTTCAAATCACACTCACTTGATCTTGCAACGTTTGCATCAAGTTTGCCACTTTGCCCTCGAATTCAGCCGGCATCGGATGAACGAACTTGCTGCCATCTGGATGCAGAATCTCCAATCCGTGGTTTCCAGCGTAAGTGATGCCTTCTATGCCAACCATCGACTTCACGTTGTCCACGTTTCTACCTGATATGATTGCTATGTACACGTCAGACATATTTGACAACCTTTGGAGAACATTCTTTGTTTCCACGGGCAAAATGGCCAGGTCTGGGTGCGTTGCGATAGGGGCCAATGTACCATCGTAGTCCAGGAGGAGGGCCAACTTATGGTTCTCGCCGATATACCTAGGGGACATGTGTTATCACTGGAACGTTACCCGGCTTTCATCATGAGTCAGGTTGCATTCGCACGCGGGGGCCCGCCCGTCTTCCAAAAGCACTTTTCTTGCTAAACAAAACTCTTCCAGATAGGATATACCATAAACATGACACACGGGATATAGTAATATACCAAGTTATCGCGTGAATTCGAACCAAAGGACATTTTCATACTGGGTTAACCTTGTATATTAGATACATTAAGGATAACTTGACTTTACAACAGAACGAGACTTTTAGGTAAGGTAGCACAGAGATGGATAAGTTAATTGTTGGAGATCGACTTTGGACACAATTGTAATGTTACATGTATCTTCGACACATGTCACCGACATGGTGAAAAAAAGCCCCAGATGACATCGTTCCCTACGCTGCGATGTACCCAAACTCATGCTCAGTTTAATAAAACTGTTTCATCATTCGATTCTTAATTTGTATATAGAAAGAACAAGCATTCCATTTTATCAACAAATTTTTTTCCAATGAAAGCATTCCCATCAGCAATCTGTATACTTGTATATGTAATAAGCAAACTGTATATACTTTCTATAAACTGTTTTACATTCTTTCTCGTTTAATTACATCTATGCAAAAATTCCAAATTAATATTATATAATAATACAGTAATCTAAAGTATAATAGTTTGCCTACGACAGATACATTGAAGTGCGATTAATTTATAATCATTCACTGGGACACTTACATACATAGTGTTATTAACTTAACACCTTCAAACAAATTACATTTTCATTATACATTTGTTGGTTCATTTCCGTGTAAGCACATGCTCTGGTCGGGCCCAGTCATGCACGTATCTAAACTCTAGTAATACCTACTTGCTCAAATAGTCGTCGAAATCATCCATGGTAACCGGTTGCATAGTGGTAGCACCTACGGAGTCGTGTTCTTCCAGTGATCCCATTACTTGCAGGAATAATTTCATCCAGTAATTCACGTCGTAGATCCTTTCGCGACGTCTCAAATGATTCATTCTCAACGTACGTTCATCTTCTGGCATGGTAAGCGCTCTAAAATATACACGCAATTGTACAATACTTGACTTATCGCTTGTATCACCTAATCTCTCACATTTGAAACTACTTTAAATTGCTTGTTTCTTTACAAAAAAAAAAAAAGTTCCATCGATATTAGGCATCAAACGACGCAACAATCTCTCTAAGTATAGGAGAAATTTGGAAAATTTCAAAGGTACCTATGAATAACCTCCGCAGCTTCGTCTATCTCGTAAGGATTGCAGATCAAAGCTTCGTGCATCATCTCTCCCGCTCCAGCGAACGGAGAAACAATCAATACACCTGGAGGCGTGTTAATCTGACAAGCGACGAACTCTTTCGCGACTAAGTTCATTCCATCCCTAAGTGGTGTAACAAGAGCAACAGCAGCATCCCTGTAGAAGGCTGCAAGCTCGTCCTGACTCACGCAACCATAAATGTAACGAATAGGGGACCAATTTGGAGTCGTGAAACGACCGTTTATGCAACCGATCAGTTGATCCATTTCCAACTTCAAATCCTGATATTCACGCACGTCAGTCCTCGATGGTACGGCAATTTGAAGCATGGTAACCTGAACAGACGCAAACGACGTAAAGATTTGTGTGTATTTCACGAGAATCGTGAAAGAAGGAACTGAGTGGATTTTTCAATCATATCGATATCGATTATAGAAATATCATTACCTGTTCACGATGCTCAGGATGCTTTTCCAGCAGCATCTCGAAAGCTTTTAGTCTGTGAACCAGACCCTTAGTATAATCAAGGCGATCCACGCCCAGCACAATTTTCTGATTAGTCAACATGACCTTGTTGGCAGTCTCGGCCAGCGCGACGAATCTGTCGAACGGAATACCAATGGGAAGTGGTCTAACACGTACTGTTCTTCCACCGTGCTCCACCAACAGGTTCTTACGGTCAACTCTGCAGCCGAGGCTCCTTTGGCAGCAGTCGACGAAGTTCAGACAGTAGTTCTGAATGTGAAAACCGACCATGTCGCAACCTAATGAAAATTTTACTTTCATCAGATAACAGATTTCTCAGGAAGAAGGATTGAAAATGTTTAGAATATGCGTAACCATCATCACACTGCATTCTGTGCATGAATCTAAGATAAATCAGTGTTCTAACGTGCTCCAAATATTTCAGGAATTATCCTTCTAAATTTCAAGAATTATTTTTGTTTAATTTCAAAAATTATTTCTTTCAAATTTCAAGAACTATTTCTTTTAAATTTCAGAACTTCTTTTCTTTAATTTCAAGAAATTTGAGTTTCGCAATTTCAGCAGACGACTTTCTCCCCGTGTAAAATGAAAACCCCAGAAACGCAGCGTGAGGATTAGAAGGGAAGAACAATTTACCTAGCATTCCCTGAAGAATTTCATCAGCCCACGGGAAGAGCCTGAAAATGTCCCATGGTGGGAAGGGAATATGTAGGAAGAATCCCAATTTACACCTGAGATTCTTCTCGTCGGCAGCTTGTCTGATCCAGTTCGCTGCCAACATCAGATGATAATCGTGCACCCAGACCAAAGGTGTGCCGTTCGGTTGATTTTCCTGCTCCTTCTGAATTTGTTCCAAAGCACCGACCTGAATACCAACAGGGAACAATTATAACGTTTGCTCTCGCGGGAAACGCACACTTGTCCACGTTCCATCCGCCTTTTAATCGACACCCTACGTTCAAGGAGAACACAGTGCTCACCGTTTTCGCAGCGAATTCCTCGTTGACCGCGGAATACGCACGCCAATGTTCCGCAATGAAGGTCGCTCGGTCTGGCATAGAATGGAACAACGGCCAAAATGTTCCATTGCAACATCCATTGTAGTATGAGTCGAAGATGGTCGGTTCGACGTGCACTGCCACAACCTGGATAACAAACATAGCGATCTCTTTAATCCATCATTGCTATACACACGTTCGTTCTCTAATTGAAATCTTTTTGCAACGAAAAAATTGCAAACGTCAATTCTTCTCAGAGAAAATAATCAATTCTAACGATATTTTTAACGCATTGTAATATTATTAATTCATTATTAATATTTCTAGCAATTTAATGCTAATGCGAATTTTAACCACGGCTGCAAAGTTTATTATTTTGGCCGTGTCGTTTTACAATTCTGTTTATCAGCCCCTTGACGTATGATTACTTTTCCTGACTACGCGTCTAAGCGTCAGCTATTTCCTGTTTCAGTACTATATTAAGTAAGAAAAGCTGACGTATTGTAGATTAATTAAATTTGGCAATCTTCAGTTTTGTAAATTGAATCGAAAATTGGAATTAAAATGAATTTTTCTTACCGATGTAACTGTTTTATCAGATCTTCGCTAAAATCTGTGTCACGAGTCTGACTCGTTATCATACGGCAAGGGGTTAAATTAAGGTGGAAGTGCATGAAGGATAAACTTAAGTATTGAATTAAGGCGAAAGTGCACCAAAAAGGCTGCAATAGTGTGAGCAAATTTTCAAAACGCCTATAAGCACCAATAGTAACGAAAAGGTTAATAGATCATTTAATCAATTCTTCGAGGTCACCAAGTATATTTACCCTGTATCTCGACATTTAGATACTAACAAACAACACATCTAAAGACAATCGAAATGCGTAATGACATTCGAAAAGAAAAAGTGACTCGTGACATCGTTTATGATTGTCTAGATAACCTTGCGTCGACGTTTATGTATACACGTAGTCTACAGAATAATCATCCAGTTTCCAAGAATCTAACAATGTTCCTTTTCGTAAAACTTAATTACCTCCAAATCTATTTAGCTCCGACTATAATAAATCATAGCGAGCCCAAACAAACGTGAATTCGTCGAAAGACTCGTGCTTGTTCACTTTCCAGGAACTTAGCGAACAAACTTTTCCTTCAACGTCCTTTTCTCAAGTTCTTAAATTAGGTTACTTGAAGAACGCGTTCTCACCACACGATCCCCTAATTCCCATCCTCGAGAACCGCAGTATTTCTTCCCGATACCGAGGGAGAACAGAACGCGGCGCTTAATTAAGGAAAAAACTGTATCTTCCCCCTGGTTTCTCCCTCGTCGGGGAATATTAAACACGACCGGATGTATTTATAGCGTCGTTATCATTCCCTCCGCGAGTCTCATTGTGTGTCCGTGTACACGGATCGCACTTCCTATTTTTATCGTATCTCGGAGTCGCAGATATACCGAACGATTGCCGCAAATAGACCTCTCCCCGATCGAGAGTGTAGCAAATAACTTGGCAAATGTTAAATCAATGACGATACACACACGCTCCTATGTCGGTCCTCGTGCACACGCTTTCAGAGATTAATCGCCTGGCCATTCCAGGAAACGCATAACAATAAGCAGACGTCCGTAAGTACGCCGGGCTGTATAATATTTTCTATCAAAATCGCCTGATCTTGGAACGATCAAACGACACTGCAAACTTCCGTCGATGTTAATCTTGATAATAGTAAAATGTCGCTGTTTGTTTTGGTAGTTAAGATTGCACAATTCTGCAGTTTTCTGTTATACCTACACGATTCTTTTGGAAATTATCGACGGAGGATCTTCTGGTAAAGTGGTTTTATTTCTCGAGAAAGTAGAAGATAAATATTTAGGAGTGTCACGTTTGGTAGGATTATTAGAACATTAAGGCTCGAACGATGTCACATTTATCCTTGACATTTCGGTACGTAGCTCCGCCCTGGAGAATTGAAGCCAGAAGCCACGAGTGCTCCAATTACATTGCACAATTTGTAATGTGTACCGAACGAATCCTTAATGAAATGCCTCTGTCTCTATGTGAAAAATAGACACGGTGTCGTTGTAAATTTACACGTCGCGTAAAGTGAAACGAGGTCTTCTAGCAAAGAGGCGGATGGTAGAGTTTAATGGCGACGGAGGAGACTTAACGGACCTATACTACTGGCAGAGATTTCGGAGTCGTTTATTCATTATAACAGCGTTAATTTCAACGCAATTTTTCTTTCGACAGAAAGTCGATGTTTACTCTGATCGTTTAATTGTTACTCCTACTTTTATAGTAAAATTTTATCACACAACGTAAAAAATAATTTTTTTAAATAGACATCTGTGGGTAATTTTTAACTAACATCAAAGAAAAGAAAATATTAAGTTAACGTAAAATTGTTATTTTTTAGTTAAAAAATTTTCAAAATTTTCTTGGAGAGTACGATAATACCCGAAACGTTTGCTTAGCAATAACTATAAATTCCAACGAGAGAAATAAAATATTTAAGTAAACTAAAATTTTGAAGTAAAATATTAAGCTAACTTGAAATTATTTTTTAGTTAAAAAATTTCTATGGTTTTCTTGGAGGGTACAATAATTCCAAAACGTTTGTTCGGCAATAAATATAAATTCCAATAAGAGAAATAAAATATTTAAGTAAAATATTAAACCAACGTAAAATTATTTTTCACTTTAAAAGAATCTCTGGTTTTCTTGGAGCACGCAATAATTCCAAAAATTAGTCCAGCGATAAATATAAATTCCAATCAAGGACAAACTCCTCTAAGAAGTTTGGCACGAGCTTACGGTGCTTTCGAATTGATCGCGAGGAGAAAAAGCAAGGCAAGAAACAGCGATCGGAAGTGCATAAAGTCCGGCCTGTTAGTCGATAACGCGAATACGTGACGCGTTCCATCGTCTCTCTTGTTAATTGCTCGTTATCCTCCTCGGCGTTCGTTTGTTTTGCCCGCGACACGGCCTCTTTTATTATTTCTCGAATACGTGAAAACACGTCCGCTCCCTCCTCTGATCGCTGATTGACGCAAGCAAGCCAAGCGCCGCCGAGCAATCGAATCGTTAATGAGATAATTATTAATGTCCCGTTCCAGACACAACCATCTTGAAGGAGGATCTGATGTGTCTTAATTAACAAGAGGGCAAAAGGAACAAGAATCTTTTCGCTACGATTACGCATCGTGTTCAAAGTCGCTCGTTTATATTTATACGTCCAGGTCAGAGACGCGGGGGATTTTTTTTAAAGACACCCTGTGTGTTTACCAATGTCCTCGTCGGACGTTACGATTGCGCGTAGTTCCGATAATATCTTCTTAGGAAGATATGAAAATTACTCACACGTTCCAGTGTTTTTCTCGTTTTAAAAATTGTTCCATATTTTAATACACGTTAAAATTTTATCATTTTACGCTTTAATACATAGTACGCTGAAAATTGATTAATTTTACATTTTAACGATATTATTTTTATTCACATTTTGCAATAGTTAGAAAAATCTTTACTTCATTTTTGTTGGTTAATTATATCACAATTGTACAAAGAACTTTAACCATTCGTTCTGCTAGGTACTTAAAAACTCTTCAGAAAGTAGAACAATCGAAATATGAATTTCAAGTTCCCGCCAATTCGTACACAAAATGGTGTGAAACGTAACAAAGACAGCAATCTATTTGTAAATCGTGAATCGAGGCGAAAACGCGAAAGAACAAAGCACGACGGGGGAAAAAGTGTTCGCGAAGGCAATTATTTTTTCCTTGAATGTGGCAACCAATTTGCGAATGAAATAAAACCGTGCATCGATGTTTCAGATGCACAATGGCGATCGATCGAACACCTTCTCGTTCGTTATTGTCTCGTTACATCGGTTCGTTTCACGGATCGATCATTCAAATCTAGATTCTCTCTCTCAAATTCAACGTTCCTTTTTTATTTCCAGTAAGTTGTTCTTTCGAATAATTTTAAAAGCCTCTTTAAGGTTAGGTTAGGCTTTCCGTTTATTTGAGCTCGAAGAAACTTTCCAATAAAAAGTTCTAAACCTTTACACGAATTTTAACGTAACTTTTCTCTTTTAATAAACAATTTTTACGTTAGTTTTGTACGGTAACGCGAGATACGCGATGTTTCCAGCGACGTTGGTTAGGTTAGGTTATGTCAGCTTAAGAATTTAAGTAGAGTTTGAAATAAACATTTTTTAAATATAGTTGTCTGTAATTATACGAACGAATAGATTTATCGGAAGATTTTCAAAAAATTCTTCAGAGTTTAAAAATATCACGATAAAACGAGCTTGTCTCGTATAATTGTTATTTCGCAACACGTCAGGGGTCAGACGTTTGAAGGCGATGATTCGTTTCGCCTACGATCGGTTCGTAAACAATTCAACGAGACGGTGAACCGTTCAAAAACGAGCAGAACGATCGAAAACATTTTAATTATCCGTTATCAGCGCTGTGAAGAAAAAGTGCTCGACAAAGAGAGGGATACGACGACGTGTGCACACACCCGCGCGCACGTCACAAACGAAAGATATAGTAAGACAGCGTGATATACCTACCCCCGCTTGCCCCACTTCTTTTATTCAAAACATGTTGTTAAACGAACGAGCCGACCGCTGCGTGATCTAAGCTTACATTCTCTATCGAGGCGAACGATTGTCTTATTTACAAGATCCGCGCGTTTGCGGCGTTGCTAGGGGAAAAAATACACCAGATAATCTTTAGAAAAGTTCCTGGAAAATTGATCGAGGAATATGAATATACTCGGGTAAATTTCGAACCGTTTTCAAGTGAAATTCTTCGAAATATCGAAAGGAATCTGTATATTAAAATTCTTCAGTTTTATGTTGTAATAATAACGAAAATATTTTTGTAGGTTAGAAAAGATTTGAATTGATTATATCGCTTCGTGTAAATTGAACGTAATTTCGAATTTTTGTTACTAATTTTTTTTTTTTTTTTCAGGAAAATGTTACGTAATATTAGTTTGATTTCAAATCACGAATATTTTATTATTTTAAATACTTGAGAACTTTCAAGCATTACTCGCGATACACGCGTAATACAAAACCTCTAGCCGTATTTTCACCGGTCTTTTTCAACAAAAATAAAAGGAACAAACGGCAAC